GAAGTTAGTTTTGTCTTTCATCTACCAGACAGTGAGGGGTAGTCAAAGGGAGACATCCCTATAAAGGTGAGCTCAGTCATCTGCACCTCCTGTGGGATCCTGGGGTTGCCATGGAGACAGAGCGTAGGTCTCTCTACCCCTCCACAACCTCTGTGCTTAAGCTTGGTCACCCTCCTCTTAGCATCTCTATGATTGGAAGTAGCAATCAGTGAGGAGGAGGAGGAGGCAGAAGGAGGAGGAAGAGGAGTTGAAGATCTTCACAGGTTCCCTTAGTATCTCTCTTCTGTACAGCCTCCAGGCCACCTACACTCCATCACAACCTCCGTTCCAGCAATGTCTGTTCTCCTGCAGCCTGCATCTCTAAAAAAAAAAAAAAAAAAATCCCTGAAAACTATAGCAGTAATTGAAGCTTTCGAAGTCATCAATGACAATTTCATTTAATCTTTCAAAATCTGTCACTTCAAAAAAAAAAAAAACTAATGGTTTTCTAATAAAAATAGCGATGACTATAATTCACAGATGGTTTACTTTCACAGGAGTCAGAATGACATTAACATTTTCATCTCAGATCAGAACCCTCTGCATTAGTGCACAGGGAGAGGGCTCAGTAGGAGAACATTTCAATCTCTTTTCTCTGGTTGTGAGAAATATCTTTTTATAAGACAATGCAACAAAAACCAAGAATGTAGGAGATCTGAACATTTGGTCTCATTTGGATGAATCCTAATTTGTCAGATTTGATATAAAACTCTAAGGCACTGATACAGAGTAACTTTATATAAATTCATTCCATAGAAAAATTAAAATGGCCAACATTTTTCTCCTAGTCCACGTCAGTAATAGACAATGTAAATTCCTGCAAATTTAGAATTTATGTGATCTTGTCTGGGGTTTCCTGATTAACAAAGATTCCTAGGTTTATGCTCCACTAATCCTGAGCATCAGTGATAACAGAGGACTTAAAGACTAAAATGCACTAAGAATAGTTTCTAAGGAAGAAATCCAAACTACTACTAAAGGGCTAATTTTATTCTTTCAGGAGTGAATAAGCATTAACTACAAACATAGCATCTTTAAAAGACCAGCAAAGTCAAACAAATGTTAACATTTTAAATGAGAATCTCTAAATATTGCCAATCTACACATAAATTATATGGTAAAGATATGAATGAATGAATGAATGAATGAATATGAAATAATGAATCAGTTCATTGGATAACTGTCAAGTATACTAAATAGCCGAATGAAGTACTTTTCCAATTATCTGAATGTGATGACAGCACAATACCCAGTCATGTCCGCAGTCTTTAGCTATGTCTTAGTAGGAGACTTAGAGATTCAGACCTTCATTCTCTCCTCTTACCACTGAATCAGAAGCCCAGAAACCCTCCTCACTTTCAAAGCCCTTGATTTACTTCTACAGGGAGAACTTTCATGGGCATAAATAACTATACCAAAAACTCACCAGGAACTTTGGGAACTGGCCTGTCCTTCTGGCTCTCACCATTAGACGTGTCTACCTGTCTCATGTGCTCCATCTTCCCTTGAACATGCCTTATGCCTCATGTGTCCACCCTCCTCCTCTCTTGTCATTATCCTAGTCGCAGCAAGAACTTCATTTTTCTGCCTCCAAGTCTGGCTTGACATGCAGATCTGCCGTGTGAAACCCTCAGACCACTTCTTAACTACCCCCCTGTCAGGTCCTGTGGAATCTCCAATGTGTGATGGGAAAAATCCACTTCATCTTTCATATTTACTCTCTAATTTAGCCCTATATATGAATTAAAAACTGGTTATTTCCTGGAGATATTTTATTATGAGATTTCACTTTTTCTCCGTAAAGGGGAAGGTTCAGCTAAATCATTGTTCCCTAATCTTATGTCTTATGTCTGCACATAAGTGGACCATTTTCACTCCACACTCCAGTTTTTTTCCTTTTATTTCCACCATTTACTGACTTCCATGACTTATTTCCAGCTTTCTGAATGACTTCAGGGTCTGGCTTGTATTTTCGTTGTCCATCATGCCTTATTTCCATCCTTGAAGACATTATCATCCATCACTATGACTCATCTTATACCAGAACTTCACAGATTCTCATCTTCTCTAATCTGAATCCACCCTCCCCATATACCTACCACTTTTAAGATCAAGAATATATCTTCAGATTCTTCAAGAGATGTAAATATATATGTATAATGGCAAATATGCAATGCAATGTAATAAGGGAAATAAAGAACCATTCATAGAGTGGTCTGGGAACACAAATGAAAGTCATCAAAACCCTACTGGAAGTGGAGAGATGAGTATTAAAAAATCGAATAATGGAGGTGGGTTTTATTTCCATTGTAAAGGATAAATAGGGGTCGGCCAGCAGATAAGCAATTGTGTTCGAATCTTCTAAACCCAAATTGTTGATTACATTATATTGTCACCCCTACCACTCAAAGGCAAGCCCAGCAATTCATTCTCCAGTTTGAAGAAGGAACTTTATAGATTTAAAATACAATTTCAAAAATTATTTTTATAAATTTAGTTCTGATCCTCTTTAAGTCTTCCAGTTAAACTACATTGCTCATAGGGAAATGTCCATGTTTTCCTGGAATATCCTTCATGATGTGGCCACCAGTTACATGTGCAGCCTCTTCCCTCACCACTTTTCACACAGGTATATCCCAACATGATTTAACATTTTCTGCTCCTTGCCTGTCACATGCTAATTTTCCCAAATTCAACTTTTCTCACCATCCATAGGCACCCTGGAAAATTCCTGTTTATCCTTCAAGACTAAATGGCTTAGGAAATGTGCTTCTCAGTGAACCCTTCCTGATTCCATCTTGATCGCCTTCCCCTCGCTGAGCGTGTATTCTTGAAGGATTTACTCACTGCTTATTTTCCCCAGTAAATTATGAGCTCCTTGAGGAGAGGGACCTCCTTTGTATCTCCAAAATCTGGCATAATTCTCAAGATAAACCCAATTTGGTGTTTTGAATGGCTCTTAGAAATATCACTATAAGAGATCTTCATCATCCATCCAGCTCTCTTCCTGCCCACGGTCTTCATTTAAGTAAGGGGATAGACCTAGAATCCAGTTCTCCTATTTCCATTCCGTAGGTCTTTTCCCCATGTTGTGCTCCTTCCATATATTAGTTCCCTTAATGATCATTATTGATTCTACCCATTGTGGAGTATTGCTGGCTATCACCCTTTTAGAGTTTCATTTGGGGATCTAGGTTTGCATGAGTTTTTCCTTTGAGATTTAGTTCTTCACAATAAGCAACATACCACAGTCAGAGATGAACAGAAAGATGACATGCTCCCTCCTTCCCAATGCCTGTCTCACAGATTTGTTCCGCGGTGCTCACAGACAGTACCAACTGTTCTTCCTGTTGACTGCCAAAATAAGTCAACAGTCAGGGAGGAAAAAAAAAGACTGTGAATTATGGAAAATAACTAGGGAGAAAGAATGGCAATACAATGGGGGAAAAAAGTAACAACTCTGTAGCTACCCATCCAGGCAACTGTCTTAAATGTAAGCCCAATAAAAGAAAACTAAATGAAGAAGAACATCTAATCGACCAGAGGCCTCTGAACCAGGACAGTAATTGAGAGCTTTCCTTGTCAATTTAACTAACTTGCCTGACTGCCATAATGCAAGATTCAGGTCCTTGTCGCTTGCAAAACTGTGTTTCGTTAAAACAACAGATTATGGCTAAGGGGAAAAGTTAGATGGAAAGATGGGAAGTGACAAAATATGTTTGGAGTAAACTCAGTTTCCATATGAAAAGGTTCATAAACTGCCTCTGGCCAAGCACTCTGAAGACAAGTCTGACCTATAAACCTTTCCAGTACCTAATGATGTGTATATACGTGCAAGCTTCGGGTGTCATTGTGATATATGACATAAGCTGCGCGGTGTTGTCATTTTAATGTCCCTAGCTCATGCTTGGGAGCACACGTTAGTCTTCCTCTTATTTTAATGGTGTTTGTTTCAAGTGCCGAGAATATGATTATGAACACATCACAAGAGTTGCCTAAGCAGTATTTCTTCTTTGTCTAACAGAACATCACCTCAGAGCTTCCAAAGCGCTTCATGTTAGTATTTACCAGGTTTTTCTGCAATTATTTATGTCTGCTTCCCCTAAGAGACTGTGAGCACTTACATTGTGAAGGGCATTCCTCACACCTACCACAGTTCTGTGAACTCTTAGAAAATAAGCACAGCGCACAGAAAATTATTTTTAAAATGCATGGATGTGACTTATTATGTGTTTTTAAGAATTTTCTGTGGCAACTGTCTTCATCAATAGTGGCGTGTTTGGACCAGCTTGCATATCACTAGGACTTTTCATAGAAACTAATTTGGCGACATGCTGAAATTTCTCTTGAAACATTTTAGAGAAGAATGTTCATTGTATACTACTGTTTATGCAAGCATCTAGAAGATCATTGCTCATACATGACTTTGTAGAGACTTGACTTTGGTGCCACAGTTCTAGAATTACAGTTGTAGACATAGAATTTATAATGACACAGTTTAGTAAAAAAATAATTGAAATGAGACAATTTTGTGTGTCTGCCATTTTGTGGACTCATCCTCCCTACTTTGAGTTGAGGACAGAAAAAGATCACAGAGGAAAGGTAGGGGTCTGGCTTGGAAGTGTGAGAATTCATTTATACGGATGGTTTTAACTTCTGAGAGGCAAAGTCCATCAGAGATTTGCACTGCATGCTGCAACTATCACAACTGTAGTGTGTAGGCATTTACTAACATTGATGACAATATAGACACACAACAAATATACGTATTAGAACAAAACCTTTGGGATTGCGATGAAATATAATGGTGTTAAGAATAATAAGGAAGATGTATTGGAATGAATTTTATTGGCTTTGCTTCTTTTAATTGTCTTCTGGAAAAATCTCTTGCCCGATGTCTTTTCCATCATCATTTTAGCATCTTCTTGCTGTTAAATGTTTCCCTACTGTTTGCATTTTAGATGGGAGTCCGAAAAGTGTTTCTGAAATACTGGCATGCCAACCAGCTCAATGATCTGTGCCTACAGCTGCAGAGAAGAATTATCACCTGCCAAAAAGGTAACAAGAACACACTAACATTTCTCAACTTTCCTGAGTTGTGGAATACTCCGTGATTTAGTGCACTCCCTAGTTTAAATGTCAGTGGGATTCACATTATAGTGGGCCACTCCATCCCAATGATACATTTGGGAAACAGTTTTCAGGAATTTAGGAAGCACCGTGGCTTAGTTTGCTCTTTACCTGTCTCATCAGCATATGCAGACACTGCTCATGCTTTATCTATTTGGTCGTCGTTCCATCTGAAGTTTTCACCTATGTCACAATTTGGAAGAAGCGATATTCATATACTATGATTTATGCATCCTCTACCTCACAAAGATTCATTCTCCTTGATCCTGACAAGGAGTGTACCTTCGAACCCCCAGTGACGGGGGCGGGGGCGGGGACAACCCATGTGGCACTTAGGTCCAGCTATGCAGCCAGATTCCTAAGCCAGTTCAGTCAGTACCACTTGTACGCTGAAGCTTGGAGGACTGGAACAGCCAATTATCCAATTCTGCATGTGCCATGGAAAAATCTTTGACTTTATTTTTCCTTTGTGAAGTGATAATATATTTGGAGTATTATCTTTATTAGCAGATAACTTTTTTTTCATTTTAAGAGGAATTGAGAAATTACATTTCAAATATTTTTCTCCTATCAAAACCCAAGAGACCATCAAAAATGGGTACATTTTAAAAATCATGACTATGCCTCACATAAAACACAGGATAGATTTTTAATTTTTATTTGCTTAACAATTTAATTATATGTTATAAATATAATATTTAAAGAAAAGTAAAAAGGAGAAATTAATCTGCATGCTAGTTTTGAGTGGAACTAGTTATAATAGTTAAGCTCTCTGATATATTTGAAACTATTCAAAACAAACAAAGCTGACTCATAGGATGCAGAAATTGGTTTTATTCGGCTCAAGCTTCTGTCCATTTCAATCCCTGTGGGACTTGTCTAGGCATGCCCCTCGTGAAATCTCCAACGTCCCGTCATTTCCCGATGATAAAAAAATTCTGCTATACCCTAGTCCCTAGCAAGTCCAGCCCAAGTAATGCTCAAAATTCAGAACCTCGTTCCATGTCAAAACGTCCCTCTCAGCAGTCTTGGGCCCTAAAGGTGCACACTGGGTGTGATTCTCACCCTTGCCTCCTCGGGTGAGCACAGAAACGAGGATACAGGGCGGCTCTTCTTTCTGATCTGGCTTCGGGTCCCTCTGGCAGGACAAACAAGTGTTCAGTAGCTCTTCAAATATGTGTGCACATCTCAGGGCTTGTCTTCACAACACACCTGAGAACTGGCAAGACCTCTCCTTCTGACGGTCACTTATAATCCCCCCAGCCCCTGGGCACTCCATGGACACTCTCTGCCTAGATGCTCTCTAAATAGGAGTCTTGTTAAATGACTCCAAGCAGACATCGCCTGTCTTGAAAATCATGTCTGGTGCCTGAGAAACACACTCTGGGCCCCTGACAGGTGCAGCTTCTCCCAGCAGAGCCACCTTCCATTCAGTGCCTGGCAGCAGCCGCTGGCACAACATCTGCCTTCTCAGACCTCACAGTCCACAAACACTCCAAGCTCCAGAGTCACATGGCAGGTTCTCTGGGTGGTCTCCTGAAGCCACTTTCATTAGCCTGAAGGTTGGCGGCAGTTTGGGGGAACCTCCGGTGAAAGAGAAGACCCACCTTCAACTGTCAGCAGGTCCTGCCTCTGTGGGTGATGATAATACAGCCTCCTTACCTTCAGTATAGAGAGAGGCTGGAGTCACAGGTCTGTTTTGGAGATGCCTTTGCAATTCCTGTTTGTGTGGTCAGCCCCGACAAGCCACCTTGTCATCAGAGTACCTGCAGCCTCAGCACCACTCGGGCATGGTTAGAAATGCCGAGGCTCAGGCTCCACCCCAGAACTCCTGAACCAGAATCTCCATTTGCAGCCTCAGTTGAAACTGGGATGAGAAGAATCCCATTTATAAGACCAGTGCTCTAACCATCGAGCCGTGGAGCCAACTGAGAATCTAATTTAATATCGTGTTATATATACATAGAATGAGGTATCAGATTCTTCTGGAAAGTTTCCTTAAATATAGTTAAAAAAATGTGTACCTCATCTTCTATCAGAGGTGCTCACTAGAAGTTCCTCTTCTATTTAGTTACAAAGATTAAGTTGCTGTGTCCTTCTGACCTGAAACAGAAGAAATGTACAGAATTCTAGTTATCTTTTAATCTCTAAGGATAAAAATTGAGAATTGTCTAAAAAAAGGGTATCAAGGTAAAAATCATAATTTCATATTGTATAAATGAAATAATAGATATAAAAGCATTTTTTTAACTTATAGGCTTTTAAATGCAAAGCATTATTGATTTTTTTTTTTTTTTTTGTATCTCTTGGAATAGTTCCTTCAATACTTTTTGCAAGTAAGAAATTTACTCAAAATTTATATAATCTGGAGTCTTTTCCAGTTATTCAAGTGTACTCATTTTTCTTTGTAAATATTGCGAGGAAGAAAGCTATAACTTTTAAATTTAATCATTTTAATCTCAAATTATTTGTACCAGAAGTTTTTCTCTGACTATATATGCTCATTTTGTCCTGGACGAAACTCAAAATTTGAATGCTGTGTTGGAAAAGCAGTCTTTTGAAATTGTCAGAAAGAGATCAAATATCAATATATATTTGTGGCAAATTTGTTTTTATTAGTTGTCCCTTATTAAAGATACTAAATTTTAGCAACTGGTATCATTTTTAAAGAATTTGAAAAGGTTGTTCGTAGGAAATTTAAGAAAATAGAGTCCTCTGGATGCAGGACAATAGAATGCTGGGTGAACGTGAATATAATGAATAGCTCTGCTATAGTTGGAGGTCACAAGAAGTCTGGCACATCCACATTAATCTTCCCTTTACTCCAAGAGATTAAACATCTTTAATATACCCTCATTTTCATCCTTCTAAAAGTCAATGTCTCAGTTTGTGAGTTTCTTTTTTTTTTTAATGTAACAAGAATAAACAAACAATGAGATCAATTTGAAGCTGCTTCTCTCTCTCGATGTACCCATTCTGCACTTTATTCCCCATTTTATCTTCCTGGAAATCTGGTTGTACCTTTTGCTGATTAGATTTCTCCCCTTTAGATTAGTTCAGCATGACTGTTTTACAGTGAACTCAATACCTCTGCATTCCAAAGAAACTAAACACTTAGTGATGCCGGTGATGCTGTCTGAGAAAAAGCCTTAAGCATTTTAGGTGTCTGCATATCACTTGCCTATGAAGACATAATTGTGGAAAGTTGTTTCAACCTACCACGTTCTAATCAAGTAAAAGCATCAAAGTGAATATCATAGGTAACCCACACATTTGTTCTTCTATATCATTGGACTATTTTAAGGGACTCAGTGTTTTACAGGCTTTCTTCCTCCCCTACAGACTAAAGTGTCTTTGCTACATACATTGGTTTTCCCTGAAATTATAGATCTTCTTATAATCTGAACAATTTTTTCTAATCTTAAAAAATTAGAATTGGAAGGAACAGCTCCCTAGAGTCAGAAGGCCCAAACGGGGTTTCTGTACCTGCATTTATCCACAGCGTCCAGGAGACGGGCCATTTTGCTCTTGCGAGCATGCTCAAGGGCTTGGAGCAGAGTCCCTTTATCACGAGAGAGCCTGATCCATTTACACCCTCTGCTCATTGTTAAAGAGTTTTTCCTCACATTAATTGCCAACATGCTACCCTGTGACGTCCTCACTGGTGATCTGCTTTCAGCAGAGCTACAGATGGCATCTGTGTAGATGGAGGCTAGGAGAATGAGTTTGGCCTGATTAGCACAGAGACTTGAAATCCTGGCTCTACCATTCATTGGTTGTGTTTACATGGAGGATGATACATCGAACTCAGAATAAGAATTTCCTAAAGCATTCTGATCTCGTATTAAAAGAGGATACCTAAATTCAGTAATGATATCTCTAAAGGCAAAAATCCTTAACCTGAATGCGATCGTGAAGATATTATTCATAATAAAGCTTACATACTATTAGGCCTTACTGATCTTCTCTTTCTTTGTATACAAAATGGAGATAACGATATATTAATTATCATCGAATTTGGCACTAAGGATGGAATAGAGTGCCGAACACATGGAATTGACTTTAAATAGTGGTCACTATTTTTTATTTTCATGTCTTATATGTGTACTGATATGTTAGCAGTTTCAAAGTGTGTTCACTCAATTGTTTCCCCCAATTCTTACACATTTTTTCTAACCCTGCTTCATCAGGGAGCAGAAAGGATGTCCTATATTTCTATACAATCTGTTCCCAGAGTCTTCAATGCAGTATTAGTATTTCTAGGAATTAAATCACAGTCCTATTAACAATATGTGCATGCTGTTTTCAAAGACTATATCCAGGAGCCTCAGATGTTTGTTATAATCTGATATAATGAAAGCTAGTCAATGAGCCCTAAAATAGTCCACTTGGAGCCACATCCCAGATTCTCTGGCATTTGGACCTACTTCTTTCCCACTGACTTTAGTTTAGTCCATCAATGGCCAGTCTCTCTTCCCAAAAGAAATGTGGAAGCCTTATGACCATAGTACCTGCACAATCTCATTCAGTTTAAAGATTCATGCCTCTGGTGTTATCATTACTGAATTTAGATGTCTTTGTTAATACAAGATTAGAATGTTTTAGTGAATTCTTTTTCTGGGTTAAATATCTTATTTTGTAGCTGCTCAGACAAATGTATTGTGACTTTTGTTTGTGCGTGTCTGGGTTTTTTGCTTTTGTCCCTCTCGTTGACCCATGATTGCATTCTTTTATATGGAAGTTATAAGAGGATTTCTAGCACGCCAGCACTTGCTTCAGAAAAGAAGCATCAGACAGCAAGAGGTCACATCCATCAACAGCTTTCTGCAGATTACAGAGGACATGGGACTGAAGACCTATGATGCTCTGGTCATTCAGAACGCTTCGGACATTGCCAGAGAAAATGACCGGCTCCGGAATGAAACAAATGCTACTTACCACAAAGAGAAGTTGGAAGCCAGGAGCAAGCAAGAGGAAGGAACCAAAAGGTAAAAGTGGATAGCATGCAATTTTAATTACCTATGTAATTAATCCAGCAGAGTCAAGAAAGTTCCAATAGCCCTTAATGCAAAGTTCAATCGAATGTGATAGTAGTTATGGTATCAGGCATATATGAATACATGGTTTATTTGAAACTTCCCAGCAATCTAAAAGAATGCTTTTCCTGTGCTTTCTTTATATGAAATAAATGTTACATGTGTTAGTTTAGTCATATGAAATAATTATTGCTTCACCTACAATGCTTGCATCACCTACTGTATTAAGCACAAAGTTTTAAAGCATCTACTATTTCTGTCTTAGCTGGGTTCTTGACATCTTTATACAGGTGTCACATATATAGAACTGACAAAGAAACTTCTGGAAATCTGACCCCAAAAATGTAGAAGCCACTCTGAAAACATAAAAATAGTGAGATAGTAAATGTTTATATAGATGTTTCCCTTAGTAAACTGTCACATGTTCTTTGCCAGTAAGGAAAGCTTTGGGGAAAGCCTCTTATTTTAAAGTTCACTTTGGAGACTGATTTTGAAATAGAAACATGGGGGAACGTTTAATCTATTAATCTATTAAATCTACTTAATCACTCTCGCCTCTCTGTGAATGATGACACCTGTGATTCACTGTACCCCTCCCTGTGAGAGTAGGGACTTGGTCCTTTGAATCTTAATTCACTGTCAGGGAGATGTTTGTTTTTTCATAGGAACTTGGTAATATCTAGTAGTTTCTCACTGAAAATGACTCCCCTTTGCCTTGACTGCCTATGTCAAATGATTTTTTTTATTAAAGTGGAAATGGTGATATTTTTCTCACTAATTAGCTTCAAATATCTCAGTGATTAAATACTGAAAAAAACCCTTTGTATGGAAAACTGTAATTAAACATTACAGGGAAAACAAATTATCCACTGAGTGCCATGCTTTCATCTTCAGCTAGTTCATTTTCTACATAGGCATCTGGCTCTGCCTTGCGGTAGATCCCAGCCCTGTTGGTGCTCTGCCACACAAAGATATAATTATAAAAACAAATTCTCGGAGACTCCTTATAAAATGAATGCATTGGCATCTCTCTAGCACATGATTACATTGACATGTGAAGCCAGAAGCAATTTTTTTAAACCAGATAACTATTAATTTTATATGACTTCCAGAATAATATTTGTTATTTTCTCTGTTGGAGCTAAACAGCCACCCCAATTTCTCAATTTGATTATGTGTTCATTTGCCTGATATAAAATTAAGTGAAGAAGTAGTTGTCTATTTATTTATTGAATACCAGTAGTTCACTTGGCATTAGACAACCAGATGGAGTAACAGAAGAAAAATAATAATTCTGCACATAATGCAATAATTGCCAATGAAATTTAAATGGTAAGGGAGAGAGAGAGAGGAGGAGGAAAGAAAAAAAATGTAAATCTCTGATAGTTTAAGTACATACTGTTTTGCAAGGGGAAGCGGTGATGAACTCCTAGCGTTTGATGCATCAGTAACTCTCTATTAAAATGAATTCCCCAGAAATTATCATTCAGATTGAAATTCTGGTTTCTTGATTTGCTTAATAATCAGAGTGTGAAAAATTCATTCAGTGAATGTCTGATAGAAAATGTGGCACTCCTCAAGAAGTGTTGCATTTGTGTGAGATATTTTTTAAGTAATAATGATGTATCTCCAACATGCTCATCTATCATAAAGGAAAGGGCAGCTTTCTCTGGATGTACCAGCTTCCAGAGCACTGCACATGCATCCTCCAGCCTCTGCAGGAAAGGCTATTCACCAGAAAGCTGCGATTATGTCTGCTTGAGTAGGTTCATTGTTACCATCTGAATAATACATCTGGGACTCTCTGGTGGGGTGCTGTTTGTGTTTTATTCCCCTGAAGAGCTGAAGACAAGAGTGGACTCAGGTATTTCCACTGCAGCTCCATCCCAGTCCCCGTGGCTGTGGACAGCCTGGTCCAGTCCTTGGCTGGCCCATCTGCCCGGTCTCCTTCTCTGCACTCGGTGTTCAGCCTGGATGACAGCAGTGGACTCCCATCACCACGGAAACAGCCTCCACCCAAGCCAAAGAGGGACCCTACCACACGGCTGAGTGCCTCCTATGAGGCTGTGAGCGCCTGCCTGTGGGCCGCAGCCAAGGAATCATCGACTGAAGGTTAGCCACAGGGAAGGAGGAAATGGGCTTGTTGGGTTATTGATGCGCTAACTTCCGGTTTCTGAGTGCTCCGTGGCAGTATTGCTGCCCTAATATATTTTTAATAGGAATAAATCCAATTGTTGGCTTGCCAGAGGCTTTTTAATCATTAAATATAAATAATATTTATTCAAATCTCTAAGCTTCTTAGGAAAAATCTACTTATATATCATTTTCTTAACCCCCACTTCCACATTGAACAAAGAGCCTCAGAAGAGAGCAATTCAGAAAGTTAGTCTCTAGTCCATGTAAATTTTCACTAATTGAAAGGCTAAAAAAATTTATCAGGCTTCCCTATTATCAAAATCTAATTAAAAATTAAGCCTGTTTTATCATGCATTAAATGAAACGATTCAACCAAAGGAGAGTCATGACAAGGCAAAATTCAGTTAGTGAAACTTTTGGGACCAGATAACAAAGTTCCTGCTTTGGTAGTCTAGAATTATTTATACAAAAGAGGACACATCACAGTTTATTCTCAATCTCTCGTAGATTAGTTCATGTGACTATTATTACTTAATTATTAATTTTTAGAATTGTGAAAAATAGAGAAAGTACTTCTTTGCATAACATTTGCTAACTTTACAGACTTTATTTATCACCTACTAAAAGTTAGTCCCTATTCTAGACCAGGGGGTTACATAATAACTGAAATAAACAAAACTACCTTCCCTCATGGGGTTTACATTCTAGTAGGGAAGAAAGATTGCAAGCACAATAAACAAGTCAAAACATTAAGTATCTTAGAAAATGTCACTGCAGAGAAAAATAAATTTGGTAAGAGGGTGGTACTCAGAATGGGTGAGTTAAAATCTTAAATGAAATGGTTGGTCAGGTTTCACTAGAAAATGTTATACAAACATAAGATGGAACACAATTCTTTCAGTAAATAATTGAACCAGAAAAACAGAGGGAAGCCATAAGCTCATCTTTGGGAAAAGATGGCTGACACCAAGGTGGAGGCGTGGAAGCCCATGGACCAGGATCCTGGAGCAATGAGTATGTCCTAGTTATCTTCAACGATGCTTTTTGTTGGTTACTTTAAGAAAGAATAGTTTTAAGGAGAATTTTTAGTTAAAAAAAGAAAAGAAAATGTTGCTGTTGTATGAGTCATGTTACAATAATACTTAGATGGAGATGTAGGCGAAATTTATAACTTTCGGGAGTAGAGTCCAACTGTGTGTTTTTAGCTTCATGGTAATAAGGACAACAGAAGGTAAAAAAATGACATTAGGAAAATCATCTACAGGAGAGTCTTCAGGTGGATATAGATGTGACCATAGATAAAAAACTAGAACAGAACCTCCTAAGAAACAAGGCATTGTCCCAATGTACAGAAACTAAAAGAGGCTTATAGTCTAAACAGATCTTAAAGACAATCCCTGAGAAAGTAGAATAAATGACATTTCCACCATTTTTACTTTTAGACCGCTGTACTAGATTTGTGGTGCAGTTTTCAAAAAGGTGTGATTGAAATGAGAAGAAAGACCTTTTTTGGTATATTGGAAGAGGAAGAATAGTATCTAATAGGCTAAGACTAAAGCAATGGGGAAATGTAAAGTAAAGACTCAAAATAGCATCAGAAGTTGCAAAAACAATATCAAACAAGATTGAAAGTTGCAGTGTGTATAAGATAGAGCCCCATCTAATTTTGAACACTGCAAATAAGCTCTATAAATTTGAATAAGAAGGCCTCAGAATAGCCCGTAAAGTCTAAAAATTCTTTCCATTTGTGCGCATATTAAAAGACCAACTGCCCCGGAGTTGAGCTTTTGGAATAATCAGATGCCAAGTAGGCACACTGTTGTGAAAGGAGAGAAAAACAAAATATTGAGGATAAAGTTGATCTTTCTTATGAGCATCAAAAAAAGTGTCAATTAAAAAAAGTTATTCAAAGACCATAGAAGATAAAAATATATCTAAAATAAAATAACAGAAAAAAAGTTTAATGAAGAAAAAAGCAAGACCACGGTTGTAAAATTCTGCAATTCCTTACTACTGATAAAGTTGACCTCTCTCATACGAGCATCAAAAAAAAGTCAATTAGAAAAAGTTATTCAAAAACCATAGAAGATAAAAATGTATCTAAAATAAAATAACAGAAAAAAGTTTAATGAAGGAAAAACAAGACCATGGTTGTAAAATTCTGAAATACCTTACTACTGTAGGGAATCACAAGGCTCTTAAGAATTGCTGTTGATAAAACATGATGTGATTCATTAGATTTGCAAGATTCTTATGTAAAATTTAAGTTCTTGGAAACTAAATTCAGCTCACATATGATTAAGGTGCTCGTAGGTGTCTCTCTGACAGATAAGAACTCACATTTTGGAGGCTTATAAAAGGGCCAGTCCATAAATCAGTTCCTTTTTTATTATCTACATTATTTATTTTTTTCTTACAATTCATAATTCCTAATCCTGATGACTTTACCATCACCACCATATCTCCTATGGCTGCAGATGAATTCCTGTATTTTGGAATGTGCTCTGAATGCACCTTTTAGAATAAAAAAAATTAACTTGCTTGATCGAACCAAGCAGGCGTGCTGGTTAGTTTTTGTAGCATTAGGAATCAGGGGCCAATATAAGAACTTAGTCACTCAGGCCATCAGTGCCCTGGATTTCTAATTCATAATTGCAAAGGTGGGTACAGTCTTTGTGATAAACCAGCTGTCAGTATCGGCTCGATCTCGTTAATGCCATTGTGACAGGAGCTGAAGATGTCCAATACAGTAACCACTAGTAACTTGTGGCTATTCAAATTTAAAGTAATTATAATTCAATCAAATTTAAAATTCAGTTTCTCAATCATAGTCACATCCTAAGTATGCAACAGCCATAGGTAAGTAATTTCCCATCATCTCAGAAAGTTCTGTCAGGCAGAACTGATTCTCCGAGTGCCATATTCTCACCACAGAGGCCATACGGTAAGTCCTCACTTCATGGAGGCCATAGGTTCCATGACTTTAAGTAAAAGGACATATAATGAAACCAATTTTGTCATAGGCTAATTAAAATAAATAGAGTCCTGGTGGCATCTCGTCAATGTTATACCAAAACAACATTGCACGAAATGATGTTATTCAGTACCTGCTGTACTGAGTTTTTTCACCTAGTAAGATGTGACAAAAGGTAGGAAGAAAATTTGATTATTATTTAAAATGTTCTGTGAACCCTGGTTTCATAAGAACAAGGACTACAACTGAGGTTAGTTTATTATCTGAGCCATTCCTTTGGCCTATTAAAAAATAATTTCAGGTCATTTCCTTTTACAAATAAAGCTGCTAATCAATTCAGGAGGTTATAGAGTGAAAGGAGATCTGATTAGAGAATGAAGGCCAAGAATCTAAGAGAAAACAATAATTAGGTCACATTAAAGTCTTAATCCCTGTGGCCAATCCTGCTCTTATTAACACATGCCTTTCCTATAGATTTTTGTGCAATAAACATGGATAGTAAAGAGAGGTAGGGTAGAGTGCTCATTTTTTTTTTACTACCTTTGTGCCTGAGAAGCTTGAAACATTTTTATGGGCCAGTAAATTTTAACACTTGTTTGCGATCTATTAACAAACTAGAGCCAACTATTTGAAAGTACAGTTTTTTAAAATGTACTTTGCAAACAGTGACTAGGGAAGGAAGAAGAGGAGCCTGGTTTCACTCTCTCTTTGCCAGGGAGCTCATAGCTCCAGTGACCATTCGGAGAGTTGATTCTCTAAACCCAACATGCAGGCTTTCTCCCAAACATGGTGATAACTAGATGGTGAAGTGGCAAATGACAGGTTTTTCTGAGGCAACTGTAGCCTCCATAGATTTACCCTCTGTGATGTGACCTCCGCAGTCACCGTCCCTTCAGATTCAAGCAGCCCATTCCTTATAAATAACATCTTTAGGAATCCTTTTTTTTTTTTAATTACTGTACAACTTCATTCTCAACACAACATAGTTTATATGTACAGATATAAGAATAATTCAGCCATGTGGCTTAATTTGGAAATAATGTTGTTTTTTTTTCTTTTCCACTATCTTATTTATATCTTCGTTCTAGACAACACTTGGCACATAGTAGACACTCAACAAATATGTACTGAACAGATAAATGTTATAGAAATATTTTTTGTGCTGCTTTCGTTAAAGTAGAATTAGCTTCCTATCAATAAATCAAAATGAGCACAATTTGGCAAAGTTCAAAATGTACCCTTGAGATTCCTTGGATTTGGTTTGTCAACATATTTTTTAGCAGAAGCCCCTTTATAATATTTTTTTCTATTATCGGAAATTTGACAGGAATTAGGTCTTACGTGAACACTGTCCTGAGGATGTGTTGCGGGACATAACAAGAGAACATGATTGCATGTTTCACAATTTATGACGCATTTGTGCAATCAACACATATTAATTTAGTGTGTTCCATGAGCTTGGCTCCTCCCTGAGGGCCTTGGAGGCCAGTGAGGGAGATAAATGGGCAAACAAATTAATAGGTAAGCAGAGTAATAGCAAAGAGAGCAGGATGGTGTGGAACACAGAGCAGAAGGGCTAGTCTAGCCCTTGTTGGAAATTGAGGATGGGTCTAGATGGACGTTTAAGCAGCATTACACATGTGGAATGCAGCTCAGTGGGTAAAGTTGGGATGAGAGCAAAGGTGATGGGCTCCTCCCACCAAAAAATTTGTATAACAAGGTTGCAATACATCACAACTCAGTAGAAGCCCTTTTTGTCCAATTTTTAGCTGGTTGTAAATTGATAACTATATTCACTCCTAAATGCTGTGGGCCACCAGCCAGCTAGCTGGTATTTATTTAGGCATCCTTTATTTCCTTGCTACACACTTAGTTTACTCTGCAACGAGGCAAAATCACACTGGGAAAACTGGAATACAGTAGATACGCATGCACACAGATACAAATGTTTTCTTGCTGAGCAAGCTTCTCATTCCTTTTTTCTCATCTATTAAATATGTAG